CATAGACTTACAGACACATTGACCTACACACACACATATGGACTTACAGACACACACACAGGGACTTACACACACACATGGACCCACGCACACACATCGACTGACAGCCACACATCGACTCACACATACATAGACTCACACACACAGACATGAACTTACACACACATACATATCGACGCACACACACACATGGACTGTCACACGCAGATAGAGGCACACAAACATGGACTGCGACACACACATGGACGTACGCACACACATGGTCGTACGCACACACACACACACACATGTATGTACAGACACACACACACATGGACTCACACGCACACATGGACCAAAAAACACACACACAAGTTACACACTGTTGTGGTAGCTGGTATATGCTGACTCCATAGCAGTATTTATGGACTGTAGAAAGAAATGTACTTACACTGACTGACATGGAGCGACGCATACACACACACATTGACTCACACACACATGGCCGCAGACATCCACATCGACCCACACACACACATGGACTTAGACGCAGGCATTATTACTTTGAAAGAAGTAACTTAATTAAAAAAGAGTAGTTTTCTACACACACACACCATGCACACACATTGACTTACACACACACATACATGGACTTACGCACACACAGCACGACGGTATGCACTATGACTACAGCAGTGCATACCGACTGTGGTGGTACATGCTTTCACTACAACAGTGCACACGGCCTGTGGTGGTACCTGCTTGAACTACAGCAGTGCAAACCGACTGTGGTGGTTTGTGGTATCACTACAGCAGTGCCTAGTGACTGTGGTGGAACCTGCTATCACAAAGGCAGTGCATACTGACAGTGGTGGTAGCGGCTATTACAAAAGCAGTGCATACTAACTGTGGTGGTAGCTGCTATGATAACAGCAGTGCATACTGTGGTGGTACATGGTTTAACAACAGCAGTGCATACTGAATGTGCTGGTACCTGGTATGATTACAGCAGTGCATATTGTGGTGGTACCTGCTTTCCCTGCAGCACTGCATGCATACTGTTGTGGTAGCTGGTATGATTACAACAGTGCATACAGTGGTGGTACCTGCTTTCCCTGCAGCAGTGCATGTATACTGTGGTGTAAGCTATGATTACAGCAGGGCAAGCGACAGTGGTGGTACCTGCTATGAGAAGAGTAGTACATGCTGACTCTATAGCAGTATATATCGACTGTACAGTAGTACATGCTTACTGTATAGGAGTATTTATGGACTGTACAGTAGTATATGCTGACTCCATAGCAGTATTTATGGACTGTACAGTAGTACAGGCTGACTCTATAGCAGTATTTGTGGACTGTGTGTGTACATTGTGTGTGTGTGTGCGTACGTCCATGTGTGTGCATACGTCCATGTGTGTGTCTCAGTCCATGTTTGTGTGCCTCTATGTGCGTGTGTCAGTCCATGTATGTTTGTGTGGGAGTCTATGTGTGTCAGTCGATGTGTGTATGCCAATGTGTCTATGTGTGACAGTCCATGTGTACACGTGTGTGCGTCGATATGTATGTGTGTGTGTAAGTTCATGTCTGTGTGGGTGAGTCTATGTATGTGTGAGTCGATGTGTTGCTGTCAGTTGATGTGTGTGCGTGGGTCCATGTGTGTAAGTCCTTGTGTGTGTGTCTGTAAGTCCATATGTGTGTGTGTAGGTCAATGTGTCTGTAAGTCTATGTATATGTGTGTGTCACTCGATGTGTGTGTAAGTCAATGTGTGTGTGTGTGTGACTTTATATGTGTGTGTCAGTCCATGTGTATGTGTGTTCGTCGCTGTGTGTGCGTGGCTCCATGTTAGTCAGTGTTAGTCCATTTCGTTGCGTGCCTGTAGGTCCATGTGTGCGTGTTAGTCCATATGTGTGCTTTATTCACTTGCTCAGGGCCTATGATACCATCATTAGGCCTGGGCTCTGGGTTGCTCCTCGTACTTTTCGAGTCCCTGACCCTCTGCTCACGATCCTTAAGGACCTTCATGATGGTGAGCGGCCCCACATCAAACTACGTGACCGTGAATCAGAGCCACTCCCTGTACATCTTGGGGTGCGACAGGGATGTCCACTGCCTCCAACATTCTTTTACATATAGTTGGACCACGTACTTCGTTAAGCCTTCAATGCCTCTACCGGAAGAATTAACATCTGGTACAGATACAATGGGAGGCTCATCGATGCCTGGGTGCGGTCAATCGATGGCTCCCTATTGGTCAACCACGTTATGTATGCCGATGATCTGGTAATTAATGCTCACCCAGAAGAGGAGTTGGACGCGCTGCTGCTCAACTTGGAGCTTGCCACTAAGAGGTGGGGCCTTACCATCAGCCCCACCAAAACTAAGCACCTGCCTGGGTATTTTGTACCATCGGACAATCCACCCCCTTAACTCACAATTGGTGATGGGCCAGTTGTGGAGAGTGCAGACTTTCCCATACGTGCCCAGTGTACTCATGACCGGCTCCGGTTTAACACCAGAGGTCCCACTCTGAATCAGTTGAGCGGCATTATCTTTTCATCGGCTGTGTAACACTGTGTTGAAGCTACCTGGTCTCTCGCTCGGTACGAAGCTCCACGCAGTCTCGCCCATGGTCATTCCCTCCCTTCTCTACATTTGCGAAACTTGGACCCCCCCAATGCAACATTTTCGCCGGTTACAAACATTTAGGTTGGCCTGCCTACGATCCATCCTGGGTTTAACCAGGCTGGATTGTGTGAGGAGCTCACAAATACTTGAAAGATCTGGACAAAGTCCCATTGGTGACCTCCTATGCCAGGCAAGGCTGCGTTGGCTGGGCCATGTAGCCTGCATGGCCAGGCAAGGCTGCGTTGGGTGGGCCATGTAGCCTGCATGCCCAGCCACCGCATGTCTAAACACCTTTTGTTCTGCCGGATCGAGGTCTCTAAACGGGCACGGCACAGGCTACAGAAGAGATGGAGTGATGTGCTACAGGACGATGTGCAGCTGAGTGGACTTGTCGATGACTGGTACCAGCAGTTTCAAGGTCGGTATCTGTGAAGGAGCCTCGTGAAGGACGCTACAGGCCAGTTGGAGGCAGTCGGCCTCCAACAACAACGGAGGGCGGAGGAGCGATGCTCACAAGAATGAGCGATGCACCGTGTGGCTAAAGCACAGAAAGTTAGCAGGGTACAGGGCACAGGTGGTGCATCTGCCAGTCATCTCAGTCGACCTGTGCCATCTGGGTCTGCCCCGTGACCTCCTGCCAGCAGGTGTTCGACAATTCACGTGGCCTCAAGGTGCACATAGCCTGCCACAAGCGTTGTGGTGACGTCACTGCCACTTAGTGGCAAATGGCGGTTGTTGTTCAGTCTATGTATGTATGTGTGAGTCGATATGTGTGTGTAACTCTGTGTTTGAGTCGATTTGTGTGTGTAACTATATGTGTCTCTCAAGTCGATGTCTGTGTGTGTGAGTCCATATGTGTTTGCGTGCGCGTAAGTCAGTGGGTTTCTATGTGTATGGGTCCATGTCTGTTTGTAAGTCCATGTGTGTGTCTGCCTTTTTCGCCCGGGCAACGCCGGGTACTAACCGCTAGTATCAGTATAGTTAGTGACTGTATAGCACAAAGTACTCACGTGACAGTGCCGTGGTGTGGCCGTGAGCTCGACTGAACACGCATCACTTGGCAGGGTCCGCCCCCCCCCCACGCAATTGGTGTCAGTTGGTACGGTCGAGCTCGTGCATTAAGTAAATAATTAAAATAAGAATGGCACTAAATCGCTAATAAAACTAATTTAGCGTTGACGGCTGGGAAAACGGAATAGCCTATACCAAGCAGGGGGCTCGGGGCGTGCCACCCGGCAATTTTTTTCGGACTTGAACCACACCGTTTGAGAGCCAAATCCCCCGCAAGCGCGCGCACGAGGAGACTTTTATATATAAGATGGCGCCGCGTGAGCTGGCTGCTGCCGTGGTCATGTCGCTCACTCTGTTGCCTCCACTCCTCTCTCTGTCTTAGCTCCCTGTTCTTTCCTTCCATGGCGCCGCTCCGGTCTCCCTGCACTGCAGCCCATGGTAGAAATCTCCGCAGCAGCAGCCGCAGAAGCGACTCACAACCTCAAGTCCTCCTTTCTGCGCCAGGGGCCTAGGACCGTGGCCACTGCCGCGCGTCATTTCTCCACGGTGGCAGCGGCAGCAGCCCCAAGAGGTTTTTGGGTTAGATCGCGTAAATGTAAATGTGTCGTTAAACCCGCCACCACCCAACACAGCCAATTAGTAAGGTTTGTCACGTCAACAAAACATGCCAATTCGTTACTAGTTCAGCACACCGGTGTTGGAGAGAAAACTTACAACATTTAGAATGTTGTAACATTGTAATGTTGTGGGTTTTCTAACATTTACAATGTAGTAAATGTTGTGGGTTCGTAACATTTACAATGGTGTAAATGTTGTGGGTTTGCTCTCCAACACACCGGTGTGCTGTACTAGTGTAGTGTAATAGCATAAAAGGAACTGAAAGCGGGAGCTCGAGCCTGCCAGTTCTGGGAATGGACTCGTCTCGTCGTCGCTAAACGTCTCCGCTAGATGTTGCGCTACGAAGGAGAGCAGTTGGCTATCTCAGTCGGCGCCGTCAGTGTTAGGCAGCTAGTGTTGTGCACAGGCTAAGCTAAGCTACTGTGGAGAGTGTGGACGAGACCATGAAAGTTGTTAATAAAGTGCCTCCTAGAAACTAAAACTAGTAACGATTTGGTATGGTTTGTTTACATGACAAACCTTACTAGTTAGCTGCATCGGGTGGTGGCGGATTTAACATTTAAATTTACGCAATCTAACCACAAAAAAAAACCTATTTTGCTTTTTTGTTGCTATTCTGTAAACGTTGACGAGGCTCTACACAGGGCCCATCTCAAGAGGTTGATGCCGTCACAACTATGACCTGGTCGCTTTCTTTCATTGTCGCCATCAATCCACTTAACGCCACCTCTTCCAGACGACACAGGAAATAAGTTGATCGCAAATCGAGCTCAGCTACTTTTATTTTATTCCAAAAATATTTTATTGGCAAACATTTCAGAGCAGTTAGCTATACACACACACAGTATACCAGTCGGTTTCAAATTATAACCCTAACTTCAAAAGTGAAAAAGTGAGAGCAATGTATGTACAGTGTGCCACACATATCCCTGTCGCTACAACGAGAAGAAAAACATAACTGTAAACTTGAGAGACTCTTACATGCAGTAGTATTGACAACTTTTTCAATTTTAGACAACCAAGGTGTTCAACTGTCATGGCACCCAGAAGTTCCTGCCAGCTTACATAATTTTACAAAACGCAAGTAGGAATCTTCCTTTAAAACAGGAAAGAAACAAGAGAGCAGTTGTCCCAGGTGCAGGCTCTGTCAGGCGCCACAAAGCACATTTGGAGGCCCGAGACAAAATAATGGCAGGTGAGGCCTAGCCCTGAGGCCTTGCTTGGCCTTTTCTTCTGAAGCCCGGGGAAAATGGCCCCCACCTCCCCCCACCCCCACAATCTCTGCAGCCCTTGTGGACAGTTCTGTGACAATAACAAACCAATCTTCGACAAGAACTCGGCTCCAGCTCCAAGGCCACGGTCCAGACTCGAGCACATTACGTATCACGCAACACCTTAAAGCGTATTTTATCAAAAGAGGTACAAAGTAAATCAGGTACAAAAAATTAGTAATAAAAATACCGCGGTTATTCCGGTACACAAATTCAGAAGAAACTAGAATCCAGTTTTTACGAAAAGGTCGTTTCATATTGCCCAGAATTTAAATATCGAAGAGAGCGAGCAGCACCGCCGTGCCGTGGAGGAGGCATCTGGCCCGGATGTCGCGGACACGGGGAGCAAGGGCGGGGCTCGCCGGCGGGTGTCCGCGGATGCCAGCGCAGGCCCCCGTACGGCCGCCCGGCTCGGCCACAGCCTTAGGCCTAGGCCTCCTCCGCGGAGCAGTCAATCCCGGCGTAGGTGAAGTTTTCGAACAGAGCCGTGTTGACGTAGGCCTGAACAGGGCAGAGCAGAGCGGCTGTCAGCTGGATGAACGAGCGAGCGCGCTGGCGGGCGGGCGGCAGATTCCCGCGGTGTTTATGAAACGCTCGTGGCCGGTTTCACCGAGAGGTGCCGCGCCGATTCCTTGTGAGCGTCTTTCTCACCTTGCGAGCCTCCAGCATGCGGTTGAGCGACATGCACACCTGCGAGAACGGGGGCCGCTCATTGGGACGATCTCTCCAGCACTGCCTCATCAGCTCGTACCTGCGGCACGTCACAATGTCACGTCACACGCGCATGCTGCGGATAGCTTCGGGCATCGCAACATCACAACATCACGTCGCACAGGCACTGCGGAAGAGTTCGCGTTTCGCCGAGACTCAGAGACACACCTTTGTGCCGCAAGTCTCGACTTGTCCAAGCCTCAACTTGAAACTCACTGGCACGGCGTGCACAACTACTACAGCTCGAATTCTTGCACGAATATGATATTATATTTATATTCTTAGCTCTTTCGGTAAAGACCGTTTGTGTTATGGTCGAAACGTCGTGAGAATTTTTATTGTTTATTATATATTTTATTATTTTATTGTTTCCCTTCAACGTGACGTTACCGAAAGAGCTAAGAATATGAATTACTGCAGTCACGAAAGCTTTAAATCAGAATATGATATTCTCTGGCCGTCTGCTACAGAAGAGGTGTAGGGAATTTCAACAGGACCTACATCTCTGCTTTATTGACCTTCGTCAAGGCTTGTGATACCATCAATAGGCCAGGGCTCTGGGTTGTTCTTCGTGCTTTCAGGGTCCCTAATCCTCTGCTCACAATAGGTAGGGCTTTCGTGATGGTAGACAGACCCGGGCAAAGCTGCGTGGCTGAGAGTCACAGCAATTATCTGCTCCCATTTGGGGTGTGACAGGGATGTCTTCTGGCTCCTACATTATTTGGCAATGTAATTCAGTTTTCCATGGTTGTACCGGAGGATTTCCCATCTAGTACAAAAGAAGCTTGATCAATGCCTGGGTCCGGTCAAGGGATGGCTCCCTATTGGTCAACCGTGTTATGTATGCTGATCATCTGGTCATTGCTGTTCACCATGAGGAGTTGGAGACTCTGCTGCTGAACCTGGAGCGTGCCAGTAGTACTCCACCCACGTAACTCCCTATTAGTGATGGGGTAGTTGAGGAGAAAGTGGATTTCTCATATCTGGGAAGTGTGCTCATGACCAGCTCTGCTTTGGCAGCAGTCTCACTCTGAATCAGTGGAGCGGCGTTTGTTTTGTGATAATCGACGAGCCGGACAACCTTATGAGATGAGATGTTCCATCTGCACGGACTGTCCAGGTGAAATATCCCAAGTAATAAATAAACGTTAAACTACGGTGCAAAAAAAAGCTCCATTCAACAAAAACTCCACTGTCACTCACTCCGCCCGAAAACCGCCCCGCGTCTCCGTCGAAATCTCTCGACCCGACATCGAATGCTACAATGTCGCGGGAACCACGCCGCCCGACCGGCACGACAGTCGAGGAGGTGCGTAACTCACACTTCATCGTCGCAGCTGAGCGGCTTCTCCATGCGGAATCCCTGCGGCAGCTTCTCGTAGAGCTCAGCGCATGTCATCCCACAGTACGGCGTGCCTCCTGCAGCCAGCGGGGTTACAGGGACGGCGGGGGTGCGGGTGGGTAAATCCACAGGTGGGTAGGAGAGCAGAAGGGTAGATAGGTGGGTGGGCAGGTGGGCAGCAGGGCAGGTAGGTAGGTGGGAGGGAAGGTAGGTGGGTGAATGGGAGGGCAGGTGAGTGCAAGGGCAAGTGGGTGGGAAAACAGGAGTGCAGGTGGGTGGGAGAGCAGGTGGGTGGGACAGTAAGTGAGCAGGCAGGCAGGTGGGCAGTAGGGTAGGTGAGCAGGCAGGCAGGAGGGCAGGTGGGTGGGTGGCCATTGCATGAAGCATCATCACTTTAAAGTGAAAATCGTTATCAGAAACGTGACAGCCGTGCAGCGAACGAGCCTGTGCCACGAGCCTCAATGACCACGATGTCATCGCCTCGATGATGTCTGCACTCACCTAAGCTCACGATCTCCCACAGCAGCACCCCAAACGACCACCTGTGAACGGGAGGGAGAGAGGCGTTGGATCGGCGGAGCACCCATGAATCCCCGAGCGGGTCTCCAGCGGGACCTGGGCACCGGCCTGGATTCAGTCTCCAATCTCTGCCTTGAGGCGTTTGGCCCGCGGGGGTTAGGACGCGAAGAGTCACCGGCGTGCATGGCCTGGCGCGTGGGTGATGCGAGGCACGGCACGTGCAGGGGAGTGGGGGTAGTGGGGGGGCGCGTTTCACAGATGCGGGCATTGCGCCGTGCGGACGTTGGGGTGACAGCGAGCGAGCGTCAGCACATTTGTGCGACCACGGCAGCGGCCAGTTCCATGTGACCGAGTTCCATGTGACCGTGTTCCATGTGACCGTGTTCCGTGTTACCAACTCTTTCACACCACTCGCCAGTCTCGCTCGCGCGGGGCGGGCGTGTAACCCCGTGTCCTCATGCTAGCCCACGATTTGGCACAAGCTCAGCACTGTCGGGCTCTCAGTTTGCAGGCCCAGGCTGCTCGTGGGCCATTGGAAGATCAGGATCAGTCGGCCGAGCCAGAGCAACCTTAAGCTCAATCGGCAGTAAAATATAAAAAATAAACCTGATGCAAGATAAAGCGAGTTCCTGCTCAAATGAGAATTGAGGCATCGACGCTCGTCTGTTGTCCACAAGACAGAGTTGGTTGGTGGGAGATATCGCATTCCTATGGAGGGGGCAAGTCTATCCGCAGGACAGCCACTGTTGAAGTTCCCGACGATATGGTGCTCATGTGATCCACCCCGGGGGAGCAGAGGTGATGGGATCTGCGGTGGAACCGCTCGCTCCACTGCCAAGTCCCCCGGAGTCACACCTCTACAAACTTCGCTTGGCACCGTCACGCCACCGGAATAACGCACAGGGAACCATCACGGCGCCGAGTCCCACAACATCCCCTACCAAAAAACATTAAAGATTCCTATGACAAGTTGCCTAGATATCCCCTCAATTTACAAAACTACTCAGTCGGACAGGAATAGGAAGAGGATGTGGACATTTCTATTGCCCCTCACAATGAGCATGGTGAACATATCCGCTCACTATTTTAACCCCTTGGGTAACAGCTGTGGCCGCAGTGCTTAGCGTACTGTGTTATAAACCCCGTGACCCTTGTTCACGGCCACAGCCAACACCGGTGGCGACGGATCAATAATTGAACCCCCACCTCCCCCTTCACACTGACCAGCGTGGTGAAGTATGGTCATACAACCTCCGCCATGACCGACAACATCGTGGGAAGGTCTTCATCCAGCAGTGGATTTGTTTTTTTTTCCCCAGGTCGCACTCAGCTCATCAACAACACCACCTGCTGCCCATGCTCAGAAGGAACGACGGGGAACTCTCTCAAGTGCGGTGAACCAATTCAACAACACTTGTCATCAGGAGCAGCAGGCACCATCGATCCACTGTTGGATGAAGGCTTCCTCCCCAAGCCACCCCACTGCCACCTCTCGCTATCCTGCGGCCTCACAATCCGCCCAGCCACCTGCTCCACACACGAGGAGCCTGGGCTGCCACTTCGGTCGGTCCTCCGTCTTCCTCATCGCGGAGATTGTTGTCCCCCGGTACTGCTCAATGCACGAATGTCATCGAGCTCGTCTGCAGTGTGTCCAGGCAGGGGCGTCTCACGCTCACCCACGCGGCTAACCCGCGGGGACCCTCAGCCGCCACGTGCGGCCCCAGGTGCGCGCATCGCCGCTACATCGCCGCTACATCGACACCTTCACGGGATCTACTTCTCACGGAATATTTTTTCCGGAAGTTCCCGGATCCTCTGCCCCCATCACTGCAGCGAGGGGGCGCGAGCGGCGTGGGGAGGGGGGCTCGGGACGGGGGGGGGGGGTCCCGGCCCCCGGCTCCACGCGCTAGGCGCAGGCGGCGGATTCGAGACTTGCGCGGCCGCAGCAGAGCAGCACGGCCAAGGCCGCGACAGGAAAAGCTGCCGTGGCCTGGACACTGCAGAACAATCGTGCGGCTGGGAGTGTAGGGCACAGATAAGAAGTGGAGAATGCAGGAAGCCGCACGGGGGGTAGGGGGGTGGGAGGCGCCACCAGCCCAGACACACACGCGCACAGACACACACAGAGAGACACACACAGACATACACGTGCACAGACACACACTGAGAGACACAGACACACGTAGAGTGACACACACAGACACCGGTAGAGAGACACACATACACACGTAAAGAGACGCACAGAGACACACGTAGAGAGACACACACAGACACACGTAGAGAGACACACACAGACACACGTAGAGAGACACACACAGACACACGTAGAGAGACACACACACAGACACGTAGAGACACACACAGACACACGTAGAGAGACACACACAGACACACGTAGAGACACACACAGACACACGTAGAGAGACACAGACACGTAGAGAGACACACAGACACACGTAGAGAGACACACACAAAGACACACGTAGAGAGACACACAGACACACGTAGAGAGACACACAGACACACGTAGAGACACACACAGACACACGTAGAGAGACACACACAGACACACATGGAGTGACACACAGACACACGCAAAGAGACACACACAGACACATGTAGAGACACACACAGACACACGTCGAGAGACACACACAGACACACGTGGAGTGACACACAGACACACGCAAAGAGACACACACAGACACACGTAGAGACGCACACACACAGACACACTTAGAGACACACACAGACACGTAGAGAGACACACGCAGACAACCGTAGAGAGACACACACAGACACACGTAGAGTGACACACACAGACACACGCAGAGTGACACACACAGACACACGTCGGGAGACACACAGACACACGTCGGGAGACACACACAGACACGTAGAGAGACACACACAGATACACAAAAAGAGACACACACAGACACACGTAGAGAGACACACAGACACACGTAGAGAGACACACAGACACTCGTAGAGAGGCACACACACAGACACACACAGACACACGTCGGGAGACACACACAGACACACGTAGAGAGACACACAGATACACAAAAAGAGACACACACAGACACACGTAGAGAGACACACACAGACACACGTAGAGAGACACACAGACACACGTAGAGAGACACACACAGACACACGTAGAGTGACACACAGACACACGTAGAGTAACACACACAGACACACGTAGAGAGACACACAGACACACGTAGAGACACACACAGACACACGTAGAGAGACACACACAGACACACATGGAGTGACACACAGACACACGCAAAGAGACACACACAGACACACGTAGAGACACACACAGACACACGTCGAGAGACACACACAGACACACGTGGAGTGACACACAGACACACGCAAAGAGACACATACAGACACACGTAGAGACGCACACACACAGACACACTTAGAGAGACACACACAGACACACGTAGAGAGACACACGCAGACAACCGTAGAGAGACACACACAGACACACGTAGAGAGACACACACAGACACACGTAGACACACACACAGACACACGTAGAGAAACACACACAGACACACGTAGAGTGACACACACAGACACACGCAGAGTGACACACACAGACACACGTCGGGAGACACACACAGACACACGTCGGGAGACACACAGACACGTAGAGAGACACACACAGATACACAAAAAGAGACACACACAGACACACGTAGAGAGACACACAGACACACGTAGAGAGACACACAGACACACGTAGAGAGGCACACACACAGACACACACAGACACACGTCGGGAGACACACACAGACACACGTAGAGAGACACACACAGATACACAAAAAGAGACACACACAGACACACGTAGAGAGACACACACAGACACACGTAGAGAGACACACAGACACACGTAGAGAGACACACACAGACACAAGTAGAGTGACACACACAGACACACGTAGAGTGACACACACAGACACACGTAGAGAGACACGAGAGACACACACAGACACACGTAAAGAGACACAGACACACGTAGAGAGACACACACAGACACACGTAGAGAGACACACACAGATACACAAAAAGAGACACACACAGACACACGTAGAGTGACACACACAGACACACGTAGAGTGACACACACAGACACACGTAGAGAGACACACACAGACACACGTAGAGACACACACAGACACATGTAGAGAGACACACACAGACACACGTAGAGTGACACACACAGACACACGTAGAGTGACACACACAAACACACGTAGAGAGACACAGACACACGTAGGAAGACACACACAGACACACGTAGAGAGACACACACAGACACACGTAAAGAGACACACAGACACACGTAGAGACACACACAGACACACGTAGAGTGACACACACAGACACACGTAGAGAGACACACACAGACACACGTAGAGAGACACAGACACACATAGAGACACACACACAGACACACGTAGAGTGACACACACAGACACACGTAGAGAGACACACACAACAACAACAACCGCCATTCGCCACTAAGTGGCGGTGACGTCACCACGACGACGCTTGTGCCAGGCCATGTGCACCTTGAGGCCACGTGAAGTGTCAAACGCCCGCTGGCAGGAGGTCACGGGGCAGACCCAGGTGCCACGGGTCGACTGACTGAGATGACTGGCTGGTGCACCACCTGTGCCCCCTACTGTGCCAACCTGCTGTGCTTTAGCCACCCGGCGCTCCGCTCGTTGTTGTGAGCGTCGCTCCTCCGCCCTCAGTTGTTGTTGGAGGGCGACTGCCTCCAACTGCCTAATAGCGTCCTTCACGAGCCTCCTCCACAGATGCCGATCTTGACACCGCTGGTACCAGTCATCGGCAAGTCCACTCAGCTCCACGTCCTCCTGTATCACATCACTCCATCTCTTCTCTAGCCCGTGCCACGCCCGTTTAGCCCCCTCGATCCAGCCGAACCATAGCTGTTTCGGCATGCGGTGGCTGGGCATGCGGGCTA